AGTCTTGAGATGAGCTGCGTGATCGGTGTCTGCTCGAGATTTGATGATCATGTCGTCCATGTATACCTCGAGCATGTCGCCGATCTGTTTGTTGAACACTTTGTTCATCATGCGTTGGTACGTCGCGCCGGCGTTCTTTAGTCCGAAGGGCATTACGTTATAGTAATAGTTGCCCGAGCTGGTCATGAACGCCGTGCAGCGTTTGTCGCCCAGGGCCATTGGGATTTGATTGTATCCCGAGTAGGCGTCCATGAACGACAAAGTCTTGTAGCCGGCCGAGTTGTCGACCAGCATGTCGATGTTAGGTAGAGGAAAAGCATCCTTCGGGCAAGCCCGGTTGAGGTCGGTATAGTCAACACACATTCTCCATTTTCCATTATTCTTTTTGACAAGTACAACATTTGACAGCCAGGTGGAATACCGGGCTTCAGAAATAAAATTTTCCTCTAAGAGGTTTTTTACAGCTTTTTCAGCAGCCTCCGTTTTTTCTGGAGACTGCCTACGCCTACGTTGTACTACGGCCTTGGCGGCTGGATCAATGGCGAGGTGATGACAGGCGACCTCAGGGTCGAGTCCGGGCATCTCTGCAGCGCTCCAGGCGAAGAGATCGGCATTCTCGCGCAGACAGGCCTTGATTTGCTTCCTGGCCAAGTCGGGGAGGTCCTTGCCAATCTTCACTCCCTTGGTCGGGTCTGCTCCGAGGGGAACGAGTTCGAAATCGCCGTCCGGAATAGGTCGGAGGGGGATTTGCTCGCTGCTGGCCGGCTCGTCTTGGTCGAAGCGGGCGTCGAGGGCTATGGAGTCGACCTTTGGTGGAGCCTTCTGAACTTCTACCTCGGGAGATGCTCTGTCGGGCTCTTGCTTTGTCTTCTTGATGGGCCTTGTGCTGGGACCCACGTCGACAATATCCCGTCCCCTTGAAGCGGCGTTGAAGCACCTGCGGGCAGCAGCGAGGTCGCCCTGGATGGTGGCTACCCTTGCCCGTTTGGTGTAGAACTTCATTTTTAGATGGACAGTTGAGGGAACCGCTGTCAGCTCCGCCAATGTCGGCCTCCCCAAGATGCAATTGTATAGGGATGGGCAGTCAATGACGAGGAAGCGGACCTTCACTTGTCTTGTAGCAGTTCCTTCCCCGAACGTCACGAGGAGCTCGACATATCCCCAAGGTTTGGAAGTCGAGCCGTTGAAGCCTTGGAGGTCCGAACCTATATACGAAGACAGATGTGAGTCGTCCAGTTGTAAGGTCCGGAACAGCTGGGTGTACATCACGTCGACGGAACTCCCTTCGTCGACCAGGATGCGATGTACGTCAAAATTGGCCATCTTTGCCCTTATCAGCAAGGGGATGACTGCGTTCGGTGCTCCGCCGGGGAGCTCTTCCAAGTAGAAGGTGATAGGCTCTGATCTGCCCCTCACCATTTCGAAAGTCACAGTTTGTGGAGGAGCTTTGTCGACCAGTTCGTCCAACTTCCTCTTGGCTGAGTTGATGGTGAGGTCGTTGAACCCGCCCCCGTTGATGACCATGGCGGAGGGGAAGTATTCCCACCTGCTGTGTGTCGTCAGGGGCTCCTGCAGGAGCTCGGGAAGTTCGAAATCCTCGGGCCTGGTTACCGAGAAGGCGGTCTGGATTGGCACCGACTCGTCAGATGGTCGGGCATCTTCTTCGGGCTCCTTTGCCTCGCGGGCTTCACGTCGGGGAGCGTCGTTTCGCCTGTACTGTGCAAGTCTCCCCCCTTTGATGAGGGTTTCAATGGCGTCCTTCAGGTGGACGCAGTCCTCTGTCAAGTGACCATGACTCCTATGGTACTGACAGTACTTGTTTTTGTCTACTCCTGGCTTGGCAGGAGCTGGCCGGGGACGCTTGACGCCACCGTCTTTAAAGTCTGTACTAGCACACTCCGCCAGAATACGCTCGCGGGAAGCCGTGAGCGGAGTGTACTCGGTGAAACGGCCCGAGGGGCCCCTTTGTTCCCGGACCTCCCGGGGTTGATCTTCCTTCCTCTTCTCTCCGGTGCGTCGGGGAGGAGGGTCTTGTCTCGAGCTGCTGCCATGATTGCGAGCCCTGGAGTCTCGTGCCCTGTTGGCAGCTTCTCTCTCCTCGTAATCCATGTATGCTCGGGCTTTGTCGAGGAGAGCATCAAAAGTTGCAGGTGGCTCAATGCCCACAGCTTTCCTGAATTCTGTGCCGGGGAGGAGGCCCCTCTCCAGCAAGTACCTTTTCATATGGTCCGCGCAGGGGACCTGTATTGCTTCCCGGTTGAAGCGGTTGATGAATTCCCTCAAGGTCTCATCATGTCTTTGAATGATGGCCTCGAGGGCAGCCTCAGTCTTCGGGTGGCGACGGGAAGCTGTGAAGGAACTGATGAACTGGTTCTTCAGGTTCCGCCACGAGGTAATAGAGCCCGGGGCGAGTCCTTTATACCAGTCCATGGCCGCCTTCCTGAGAGTTGTTGGGAAGAGACGGCACTTGATGGGCCCCCCGACATTGTGATAGTGGAGCATGGCTTCGAACCCGTCAATGTGGTCGACTGGGTCCGCCACTCCATCATACTCCTTCAGGTGTGGGGGCTTCTCCATGCCCGGGGGAATAGGTGCGTCCATGATGGCCTGCGACAGGGGACCGCGGGGGTCGTCCTCGTCGCTCCTTTCTGGAGAAAGAGAAGGGGTCCTGTACTTATGCCGGGCACGATGGTCGTGCTGAGATTCCCTCGAGCGTGATGCTCGGTGGTTGAAGGTCACACGCCCGTCTCTGTTGTGTCTCCTGTCGTGCCTTGATGGGTCGCGACTGGGCTCTTCGGTAGGGATGACGGGCTGTCTTTCATACTGGGGCCGCCTCTGCCTTGGTGGGGGAGAGGGGCTCCTAGAGTTCTCCCTGTAATGTCTCCGCGGGGGAGTAGGGTGTCGAACTTCTTCGACCCGAGGAGGTGGAGATGGTGGCCTCTGATGCCTCCTCGGGGGTCGTCGATCATTTTCAAGTGCCCTCAGCCTTTCTCCTTGGGCGAATAGGAGATAATTTGTCTGGTTGATGGCTGCGAACAGTGCCTGAGTCGTGGCATCTGCCCCGGCAGGGACTTGGACTTCATGGAACCGGGCAGCTTGACGATAGGCGAGAGCCTCAGGGTCGTCTTCGAGTGCTGGAGTAGGCGTCGAGGAAGACGCAGTGTTCCCGTCCCTGCGGGTGGAAGGTCCAGGGGCGGTTGTCGCAGGGGTGGCATTGCGGCCGGGATCACCGAGATTGTCGAGGTGCCCATTCTTGTCCGCGGGACCGTTGTTGGTGTCGATGACGCGGGTGTGCTGTTCTTCACGAGCTGGATCAGCCATGACAGTGAATGGATTGAGCTTTGGTTTTTGAAATTGTTCGTTAGACGGGGAAGCTGTTTCCCACAGACGGCGCCACTGATCTGACCTGATCAAAAGGTTTGGACCGTCACGGCTTGCTCCGAGCTGAAGGCTTTTTGAACGAGGAGGGGGGGGGTACCTGCAAGGCACTCCGATGCTAAAGTCAGTGGGAGTACGAGCAGATAATAGAGTTGAGGTTAGAATGATGAATACCTGACCCTCTGGAAACAGAGGGTATTTATAGCCCCCAGCGCTGGGCCAAGGTTCCTTCATTGGGCCGGGCGGATTTGACCCAATGGAGGAACTGCCAGGTTCTACGTGGGTAGTGGGGACCAGCACGTGGTCCCCTTCCTGGATATGCTGCATGAAGTGCGGGCGGACGGAGACGCGGTCTTTCCGGAGTATCGTTGGGGCAACGGTGGACTGAGTCTGCCCTAGCCGGGTAGCTCGAGCCCATGTCGAGCAGCGCAGCACGGAGCCGAGCTCGACACCAAGACCTCGAGCTGGCCCGCGAGTGTCGAGCTGGACTCCAGGACATAGAGCCGGACGGCAGGGTGTCGAGCATGACTTCACCGCGTGGGGCTGGACATCGAGATGTCGAGGTGGACATCAGGGTGTCGGGCATGGATGCGACCCCCTTTGCCCAGTGTGATCCTTAGTGAGTCCCTTTGGACTGGGCCTTAGTAATGTTTTTGGGCCTGTCGGACCCAGTCCAGAACACTAATCAATTTTTATTTATTTTATTTTTATATTTTTTTTATTTTTCATGTAAACTATTAAATTTTTTTATGATGATTAAATTTTTTATAAATTATATAATTGACTAAATTATAAAATAAAAAAATTAATAAAGCGACTCGTCAATCTACTAATTCATATCTTATCCCATTTCACATAAATTTAAAGAAAACTAATTAGATCGAGCCTTTTAAAATCAGTCTTTTTTTCAATTTCACTATCTTCTAATCAAAATGACCTAAATGTCCTTTAAAATCAGTCACAATTATTAATTTTTTTCTACTATTAAAGAACAGTAAGTACGATATTATATCAAATCTACACACAAGCCAGATTCGAGTACTTCAATTTCTTCTCAGATCCAAAGACTTGTTAGTTCAATCCAACACCACTAGACCATTCACACACGAAATGGTCCTTTTATACACTCAAAAGACGTCAACCTCCATCAACTTTGTTCCTACATAACATTATTACCAATTAAATAATCGAAAACTCTACGAAAAAGAGTTTTGTCGTTTACCTCCCTATCTAGTTTCTTTCATGTTCTAGTTTTTACTCTTTCTAAGCACATTCTCTCTCTTATCACCTTCCACCCTCCTCTAATTAGCATAATATTAATAATTTAATTATAAAATTACAAATATTAATACCATTATTTTTCAAGTAGAAATATTAGTAAATTGATTATAAAATTAAAAATATTAATACCATTCTTTTCAAATAGTATAGGATTTCACAGTTTAAATTTAATAATTAAATTGATTTAATTGAATAAATATTTATAATTGTTTTTCTTTTTAAATTTTCACTCTCAATATTTTCATTAAATTAAATATCTAATTCGAAATGAGTTCTAACGTCAAGTAGTTTGGATCCTTCCACTTGCAATTGCAGGGAATATCAATATTATTTACTAGTATAAAAGTCTGACAACTATTTTTAGGTTCCGATTAAATCCCCTTCTCACAAAACTATCCCAACTGTCACCGTCCGATTCCTCTTTCATCTCACAATCTCCACCGTTCATTCTGTCTCTATCCCACTATGTATTATTCCTCACAACCTATTCCTCTTTCTATCTCCGATTGGCCCGGACGGCGGTTCGGTCCCGATCCAATAGGCTCGTCTTCAGTGTAAAAATTATCCCTCTTAAACCTTCTTCCACCTTCATCTTCATCCTCACAAACCTCACACGTGTCACGGAAACCGTTACACCGAACCGAAAAAATCTTCAGGTTCGTATAATCGTACCCGATCCGTTATAACTAACTATAACAAACAATAAAACCCGAGATCTTCGGTAACCGTTTCAGTTATGGAGGAGAAAGACAAAGACACGTGTCCCGGCGTCGGAAGAATGAGCGCTAGATTAACCGACGTCGTTCTCGACTGCGTCTTACCGTACGTCCACGACTCCAAAGACCGCGACGCGATTTCTCAGGTATGTAAGCGGTGGTACGAGCTCGATTCGTCGACGAGGAAGCACATCACGATTGCTTTATGCTACACCACCACGCCGGACCGGCTCCGGCGACGGTTTCCTCATCTGGAATCACTGAAGCTCAAGGGAAAACCTAGGGCGGCGATGTTTAACTTGATCCCCGAGGATTGGGGAGGATTTGTTACTCCTTGGGTTAAGGAGATTTCGAAATACTTCGATTGTTTGAAGTCGTTGCACTTTCGGAGGATGATTGTGACGGATTCTGATCTTCAGATTCTCGCGCGTTCGCGTCATCAGAGTCTTCATGCTCTTAAGCTTGAAAAGTGTTCTGGATTTTCAACTGACGGACTTTACTATATTTGTCACTCTTGCAAGTAAGTAGTAATTTCTATTTTTACATGGATAGAAGAAAATAGAAATCAAAGCTTTAAGTACTAACTTTATATTTTGTTAATAAAAAAAGTAACTTTTTAATATAGTGTTGCCGAGAATTGTGCTCAGTTGTAAGGTGCTAATAAAGGATCTGAATTAAAACTTTGATGAAAAAAAATTGCTATATAAAAACTGTGTGGATAAATCATTTTTTATATATTTTTCAAAACTTTGAGAATAATAGTTCATACAATCATTTCATTTCAGCGTTTTTGAGTATGCAACATTTCTATTTAACGACAATTTTTTGAAAAATATTTTTGAGAAAAAAATTGTTTTTATTTTATGGGTTTTCACTGCTTCATTTGTATTGAAAATTCTCTTTCATATAAAAAAGAAAAATCCTCTGTTTTGTTAATGTTATGTTACATGCTTGCATTTCAGATTGTTTTCAAGGGAAACTTTTTCTTTTAGTTCCCTTCCTATCTCTTTTCCAGAAGATAGTGTGCTCCATTTAGTATATTATTATCTCCAATTAACATTCCTAATATTATCTAATGCGCAATCGTTGGTATTGGAGAATCTCAAACAAATGCTATTGTCTTTGTTAACTTTGATGTTATGGTCTAGATCACATTGAACCATGATGTGATGGTTGTTGCTCATATGCGGGTCAGGGAATGCATCTGCATTAAAACTTGGGCCAGAGTTTTGTTGTTTATGTCTTTCTACTAATAACTCAAGGGAATAAACTAGGAGTTCCGGTAATTGTGTATATGGGATGGGTAAACATTCCTTTTTGAATTTCGTTTTGATCCAAAGATGTTTATAATGTCGACTTTAAACTGGGTTAGCGCATTTCATGCTGCTGGAGTTCCTACTCCTGCTAATGAACAGAACATTTTTTGTGATTGATCATTGATGAGTAAGACTGAAATTGATGGAACTACTAAAACTGTTCAACTTAAACTATGCTGACCAATTCCTTTAAACCTGGTAGGAACATGATCGTCGAAGTCCTCCTAATTTTTGTTTTGTATGAAAAATTCAAATTTGACTTTTTTCACTTGATCTGGATGATGTGACCAATCCTATACATTATTTTTTATTACACATGATTCAAATTAATGGTATATGTCAAGTTAGTGGGAACTAAGAAGCCACCAACTGGCTTAGCTAATATACTTAATTTCTAATCCTTGCACATCTAATTGTATTATAATATTTGTGACTGCTTTATTCTCTGACTTGCCACCATACACTTCTCAGCCTCATTTTCCAGGCTGTCTTATTCTACGCTTATGCCCCTTTCACTCATTAATCATACGCTTTATGTTGTTATGCCTTTTCAGATTAATTAGTTTTTTTCATCTCTGAGCTTCTACTCTAATCACCAGTTAGATTGGACTCTTTGTAAAGATTGCAGCTAATTTAGAATCTCATTTAGTGCCTTTTCTTTTATGGATTTGCTCCCACTCCTTCAAATTAATTAATTTTTTTTACAGAGGGTAGGCATGAAATGTTTCAACTTTATTGTGTTCTGTTTGGATCAACAACTTAAACGATAAAATAAAGTCAAACTTTTTTCATAACCTATCCTAGAAAGCTTATGGAAATATACTGAAAGTGGCATATGGACTTTTTTCAAAAGCTATTCCAAACAATCTCAATAGGAAAACTCAAATAAGTTGATCCAAACTTGCCCTTTGTCTTAATCATTTCTTCTTCGAACTTGGAAGTAGAAAAGAACCTATGCTTGCTTTTATAAATCCAAGGTTACTAAACTGTGACTTAATTTTCTTTCTGGCAGGAATTTAAGAGTCTTGTTTATGGAGGAAAGCTCAGTTGATGAGAAAGATGGTGAATGGCTGCGTGAGCTTGCTTTGAATAACACATTTCTCGAGACACTGAATTTTTACTTGACTGATATTAACAGTATCAGGATTCAAGACCTTGAACTTGTAGCAAAAAATTGCCCCAACTTGGTCTCTGTGAAAATTACTGATTGTGAAATCTTGAGTCTAGTGAACTTCTTTCGATATGCATCTTCTCTCGAAGAATTTTGTGGAGGTTCCTACAATGAAGAACCAGAAAAGTACAGCAGCGTATCATTGCCAGCAAAGTTAAGTCGATTGGGTTTGACATATATTGGAAAGCATGAAATGCCAATTGCATTCCCTTATGCAGCCCAACTGAAAAAATTGGATCTTCTCTATGCAATGCTGGATACGGAGGATCATTGTACATTAATTGCGAAATGCCCCAACTTGGAAATCCTTGAGGTAAGGTTCTAGAACTTTCTCTAGTTAATAATGGCTTCAAAATTTATCCACTATGCAGTAATATGTGTATTTTACACAGTTTTAAATTGCAGTCTCAATTGCACTGTGATCTCTGATTTTGTGGTCACAATATTATAGTCATGGTCATGGAAGCCTCCAAAAACTTTATGTTGTGTTGGTGACTGCAATTTAAAACTATGATTTCAAAATAACCAATATGCGTTCATATATTGACTTGAATCTTTGGTTGTACAAGGAAGCATGAAACTGTTAAAATAATAAAATTTACAACGAAATAGATTTGGGTACTAATTTGAATGGGTAAAAAGGTTATTTTGAATGACCAAAACTGCATTTGAAATTTTAATGATAAGGCTAATATCTTTTCCTCGTGGACAGTCAAGGAATGTAATCGGAGACAGAGGATTAGAAGTACTTGCTCGCTGCTGTAAGAAGCTGAAAAGGCTAAGGATCGAAAGAGGTGACGACGATCAAGCATTGGAAGATGAAGATGGTATTGTTTCGCAGAGAGGACTTATTGCCCTATCACATGGCTGTCCAGAGCTTCAATACATGGCAGTTTATGTATCTGACATTACAAATGCATCTCTAGAACACATTGGCACTCACTTGAAAAACCTTTGTGATTTTCGCCTCGTCTTGCTAGACCGCGAGGAAAGGATAACAGATTTGCCACTTGACAATGGAGTGAGGGCTTTACTGAGAGGTTGCGAAAAGCTGAAAAGATTTGCTCTATATCTCAGACCCGGTGGCTTAACTGATGTAGGACTAGGTTACATAGGACAATACAGTCCAAACGTGAGATGGATACTTCTCGGTTATGTCGGAGAAACAGATGCAGGGCTCTTGGAATTCTCAAAAGGCTGTCCAAGTCTTCAGAAACTTGAAATGAGAGGATGTTCATTTTTCAGTGAGTATGCATTAGCCGTTGCTGCAACTAGATTAACATCGTTGAGGTATCTTTGGGTACAAGGTTATGGAGCTTCAACATCAGGACTTGATCTTTTGGCAATGGCTAGACCCTATTGGAATATTGAGTTGATTCCTTCTAGACGTGTAACTGATAATCATCATCCAGCTCATATTCTTGCTTATTACTCCCTTGCTGGACCAAGATCAGATTTTCCTAATACTGTTATACCTTTGGTTCCTGCAACAGCATCATCCTATTTTGTTAACAGGTAAAGTTATGTATTTGTATATATACCAATTCCCCGTTTTTCCTTTAAAAAATTGCTTGGAAGTGGCTGAAGTGTGACAAGTGTTGTTTTTAGCTAGAAGGTTTCAATTTTCACTGCAATTTCTAGACATTATTATCGGTGTTGTAATAAGCTTGTATTCTCTTTTGCAATTCAAATATGCTTCTACCAACTGGTGCAGATTAACTTTATTTTCCGATGCTCAATTTTGTGAATATAAAAATAAGGATTGTTTTCGTTTGTTATTATTATCCTCTACTCTTTGTTTTTTATTTAATTTATTTATAATCTTGCTAGGTTTTATCATGTTCTTATGTGTGAGATTAAGCTTCTCTAGGGGTATAGAAATGGTTTTTTTCACACAAATGTATAAAGTGGTGGATGAATTCAGATTTGTGCCTTATCTAGTGGAATCTAGACACATGGTATGTTTCGATTTATCATCAGACACAATTACATTAAATTACTATAAAAAATATCTTTTTGTTTGCTGTTGGCAGCACCTTAAAGTCAGTGCTGTTTCTTTTGTAACCACCACACATTCAATGACATGTTGCCCAATACCGCTGCATTTAAGGGATATTAATGCTGATCGAAAAATAAATACACGAGGGAACTTAAATTAGAATTTTTTTACATATATGCATATCCTTTGATAGTTGCTTCAACTTTGTCTTCTTTCTCTTTTTTATTTCAATTTTCATTTTAAATTGATTTTTTAAATAATTTTAGTTATTAATAAATTAAATATATTATTAATTAAATAATGAAAATGTATAAAATATCAAAATATTGTCCCATTTATTTATTTTAATACAAAATTTCAGAACAAATTAACATGATATTTTTCTCCACTACTTTTTTTGCACAGACAAATGAACTATTTTTTCTGTCACAATTCTTCTATTTTTTTCTAACGCAAGGAAAGCGGACAAGATTAGATCTATTTTTTTTTAAAATTTTTTTATGTAAATGTCAGATCTATTTTATTTCTATCTTTTTTACAAAGATGTGTGAACTCTATTTTACGATTTTGTTTTTGTGTGTTGCAAGTATATAAGTAAATGAGGAAAAGGATATAGCCACTTTAATGTTTATGTACTATTAATAAACTTTAAGTAAATTAAACTTATTTTACTTTATTTCTTTTTCAATATAATGACGAGTTAATAAAGCATAGTCTATTTTACTCCATTTTCCCCTGTATAAGAAAGAATGAACAAAGTTAAAATTTATTTTAATATCTTTTATATGTACAAAGACAAGTATAGGGTCACTATATTTGACTCCTTTTCTAACACTCTCCAACATTATTTTTATAAATATGAACATTTTCATTCTTACAATATCACTCTAACAAATCTAAGACTCTCTTTGATTTGATTTTTAAAACTGTTTTTTAAATTTTAAAAATTATTTTCTATTTTATTTTTTTTAAAACCAAAAAACAAAAATTATATATATATATATATATATATATATATATATATATATATATATATATATATATATATATATATATATATATATATATATATATATATATATATATATATATATATATATATATATATATATATATATATATATATATATATATATATATATATATATATATATATATATATATATATATATATATATATATATATATATATATATATATATATATATATATATATATATATATATATATATATATATATATATATATATATATATATATATATATATATATATATATATATATATATATATATATATATATATATATATAAAAATAAAACTTTGTTCATGCTTTGTTTTTTTTAGTGTTCCATTTGCTTTTTAATTTTCTATAATAATAATTTTAATTTAAAAATTTCTTATTCTATCCTACATTAAAAAAAAAATCTTCCACAATTCTAAAATTGTTTCTCGTATATCGAAAATATATTTTCGATTTAAAAAAAAACTAAAAATGTACTTTTCATATAAATCAGAAATATGACTAAAGTCCACCAAAACCTTCAGGTACAAAAAAAATATGACTAAAGTCGCCCAAAATGGTAGACGAATCCACATTATTACAAAGTAGGAGGAGAAACTACTAATGAGAGATGTCATACAGTAAAATTTGTCAAACATAGACATAAGATCCTCCTAAGAAGAGGCCAAAACTTTTTGAAGAAAGAGAAGTTAAAATCACCAGGGCTGTAACTCTTATTTCCTTCCTATTAATAGACTGCATAATCGATTTCGTAGGAAAAAAATGGGAGCAGAGGTCAACATTATGCTATGAACGAGACTATTATTTTATTAGTTAGTTAAATCTTCAAATGTGTCATTTGTTTATTAATTCAATGATAAAGTTTCTTATGATAAATAGTTTATTAGTTTTTAACTTAATTACTATTTAAAATTTTAAACTATTTGGAAAATTTTAAATAGGTCATTAAAATAACATAAGGTGTAATTAGCTCTTCTGAACTTCTATTTTATGTAATTTTGTCTTTTTGGTTAGACAATTCAAATATTCTCAAATAGTTTATGAATCTACAATATATTGTTATATAAATATATCAATATTTATGAGTGTAACTATTAATACAGAAAATATAATTTTCATATGGAGAAAAAAGAATAAATCATGGAGAAATGAAAAAGAAAGATATAAAAGAGAGATACGAGAAGAAAGAGAAAGGAATGAAAGAAGCGAGAAAGATGTGAATAAATAACTTACAAAGAAAAAATAAAGAGAGATAATGAGGGAGACGAGTGGAGGAATGGGAGATTGAAATGAGAAATTATAAATGCATTTTTGATATCCATTTTATCATAAAATAAGACAAATTTTAAAAACAAATGAATTATATAGAGGTGCGCATCAGAAATATATTTCCAACTTTCAAGAATACTTTTAGAATTTTGCATGGTGTGCTAGAAAAGCATGAGTTGAATAAGAAATCCTCTTTTCATTTTCACTAATGGTGATTGCATTACAATATTACTTTTTTGGGTTTGTTTTTGTATTGGCATTGAAAGCTCCTCTTGGTTGATTAAGTGATTGTTTAGCTAACTGATCCATTTGTATTTTCAGATTCTTAATAGAAGTATTTGTATTCTTTTGATAGGCAATTGACATTTGCATGAACTGATTCAATATGTCCTCCAATTTTAATAGCTTATCTTGTTGAGAAAGAAGTTGAATATGGTTCTGATATGATTGTTGGTTGGACGAACCTATTTTTGATCTCTACCCTTGATTATAATTATTTCTAGCCAAAATTTGCTATTATGGTATTGTTATGGCCTCCGATGATTGTTGACATGGTTGACTTCTTCTTTGGTTGATGGGCAAAATTCAGTCGAATATCTCCGCTACAAAATTCATAGTATGCAATCCACCTATGCTTAGGCATTTCATGCATTTCTTTTAGATGCTGAAGTAGTTTGGGTAATTGCTTCGTAAATTCATCCAGTGTTTGTGTTAACTTATTTTGTGCCAAAATTACATCACTGGTATTCAGTTCTATGATACCACTTTTCTTCTATGTCGAACCTTCATTGTATTGTCCTTGATGGTCACTCAATGGCATTCTCTTGATGATTGCAATTGTGTCCTCAACACTTTTGGATATAAGAGAACATCCAGCGGTAGCAACTAACAACAACTTTGATTGTTATTGTAATTTGTTTTTGAAAATATGTTTTCGTGCGAAGTCATCAAAACCATGGTTAAGACTAGGAATGTCAATTGTATTTGTTAATGGGGATCTCTGTGATGATTATCTGTTCGAAGCTCTGAAGTCGGAAATTTTTTCCCTGAGGAAATAGGGATGGAGGAAAAAATTCCTCTGATGATAATTCCGGACGGGGATTGAGGAAATATCCTCCGTCCAACAGATTCCCCGACCCCGACCATAGCATTTAACTTTTATATTTTATATATTACATAATATATGAATATATAATTTTACACATTTTTTTATAAAAAATATATTAAAAAATGAATATTTATTTTTTATAGAAAAATTAATAACTACTACAAGTGCTTTTTAATTTTTTGTTTTTGTTATTGATGCAAAATGTGTTTTTATTAAAAGGAAAAAATAATGAAATATTAGTGTCATAGACATAGTTTTGATAAAAAAATATAGAAATTTTTTTAAGATTCAATCTCTGTGGATCTCCATGAGGATGGGGATGGGAAAAATTATTCCCCTGTGACGAAGATTGGGGATGGGGGAAAATTGGAGAGCGGGGCGGGGAGCAAGGAAGCGTCTTCTGAGCATTCTCTGCTCCGTTGACATCCCTAGTTAGGACGTCTTCGTAATATGGATTTGTATCACTCCTAGGCTTTACATAAGGTCTTTGATGCACCTTGGGAAACAAACACGATGGTAGCCTTTGCTTCCATCAATTTGTTATATGGAAAAACCGATTAGAAAATTTTCCTCTAGTGTGTTTCAGTTGATCATCAGAAATGTTGGATAATTAAAATATAATTATTTGTCTTTTCCAATTAATGAATGAGGGAATAATCTCATGAACACCGCCTCTTCTTCTTTGGTTGCACCTAGAGTTTTAGATAACTCGTAAAAATTTATGAGACGTGTGTACGAATCTTCATGGTCTAACCTTGTGAAAGAATTAACATATAGAATTTGTAACAATTCTATTTTTATCTCAGCTATTCGTGTATTTCTATAAGGTCTGACTATATGTGCTAGCTGTCTGGGTTGTTGTGGCAAGGTACGCCACCACCATTGTTGTTGTTCTAGTTTTTATTGTTTTCAACATTGTTATTTACATTTTGATCATTGGCATTGTTGTTGTTGTTGTTGTTGTTGATTTTATTTCCTAGATCTACCATTTCTTTTGATTTGATTGAAGATGTTGAAACACAAGTTATTGCTTGGTCTTTAGCTTGATTAGTTGTATTTTTTTGGTTTTATTGTTGTTTTTGCGCGTGGTTCTTTCAATCTCGAGATCAAATAAGAATTA